AGCTGCTGTGTAAGCTGTTACTACAACCTGCGGTGTAAGCTTTTTGTAAGTTGCTTGTAAGCTGCTACTGTACCAGATATAAATAATCTTTTGCCGAGGGTAATATTTATTCATAACGGAGTACCGAAATGATAAACTTCTTCAGAAAACTTATTTACAACGGAGTACTAAATGAACATCTATAATATAATATATACATATTTATAACAGTGATGACTTGCGCTATTGAGACTCAATAATTGGGATTGGAAATCTATAACTTAACTCCTTATTAAATCCATCAATTGACAATTTGCATTCTCACTTTTACAATCATACAATATAGTCCAATCTCGTAATTAATATCTCTGTGCAAATGCACATATTACCTTATCATGGTCTAAACTAATTACACTCCACATAAATAAGATAATATATAGAGTATAAATAAAGAACGATACATGAAATCGCTACATTTCAATATATATAAACCATAATGATTAATGAAGAGTTTAAATTTTTAAACTAAGTTGATAATAGGATAATATCTTACCTTACAACCAATTAATTATAGGGATTGTTACACAAATAGCCGGTCATATTCAATATTTATTTTTTCTAGCCGATATATATAAATTATATATTAATTATACACAATTATACATATACTATACATAAATTATATGTATATGAGATATTATAGGGCATACATAGAAGTGGGACCCGGGGGAGGGGGCTGTCATGGGCATAAGTATTTTTGAAGTACATAAAGAAGAAAAATGAGAATATATTATGCTAGAGTGTATTATAAAGTGAACATAAAATCTTATTATAATAATCAAATAGTTTAATAAAAATACTGGTCACCAAAAAAGAAAGTTTCATTTGAGATTTTGAAATGGTATATGGAAAAGAAAATTATTCTCTTACTTTTAATTTTTTTTTCTTCTTTTCTTCATTCGCAATCTAAAACTTTTTAAGAGCTATGAAGTATGAAAACAAAATAAAAGCAAATTATTTTAGTTTAAGACAAAATAAGTAGAAATGTGGGTAAAAACTTACCCGCATCGGGTATTTACACCAAACCAATAGATATATGTCGCGTGTCTTGCATATGGATTTCAATCATTTAACCATGATAAATTACATGCATTCTCATCTAATTAAATTAATTAATCATAGTGAGTTAATATAATTTGGTGTAAACACTCGGTGAGGGTAAGTATTTACCAGAAATGTGTGCCCCATTTTTTCCTTTCGTTTTCCATTTAATATGAATTAGCTTTAAGATTTTGGTTCTTAAGGAGTATCTTTTGATTTCAAAATTTATTTTATAACTTTCTTGGTTGGTATTAAATAAGAAGGTAAATATATGTTGCAACTTTATGTCTAAATTGTTACTCCTAGTAATATTTTTTAAATGAGGACTTATCCTATGCAAGACAAGTTGTAGTATCGGATTTTTCTAAGTTAAAATTTGAGATACTAATCAACAAATACGAGTAACTTTTACTGCTACTAAAGAATGAAAAAGAAAAGATTTTTGATCAGATATGATATGACCTTGGGAATATTAAATACATTGGTTTAAAAAAATTCAACTATATATACACACTTCATGTAATTTGTATAGGGTAAATTATGCAATGCTATGTGGCCGCTCAAAAAAGGGACGCGTGGAACCTAAGATGAGATAACCAAAATCGAAGGCAATTGTCCCGTCTGTCACAGAAAAGAATAACGCTCATAAGGATGCAATAAATATTCTTCGCATGGTAGTATTCAATGGAGAATAATCCACAACATTAAGTATGTTGCCCGTTACAAGAAATTTAGCATTTATGCTCACTGTTATATTTTTATCAATGATCCTCACAACTGGCATTAAAGGGCACGATCCTAGGACCTCTTTTCCTAGACATAGCTATACATAGTGAGCTTTGTTATCATTGTAGAGGGAGAAATTTTCTGGAAAAAACTAAGACTACAATCTACAAAAAGTTACATACAATTTTATCTTCTTATTTTCTGTCCTTATTATTGTTCTTATCAGTGTTGCGCCGGAGGCTTCGTTTTTTTATTATTTCGTCTTCATATCAAGACTAAGTGTTATATATTTCTTCAATCATTTTATTATTTTAAGATCAAATTAATTTACTTGTCTAAAAATCACGTATAAATTCTATTGTACCGTTTTTAGGGTAAACATAATTCCAGTCGAAGTTAATTGCTGGATACTTTCATATTTGACATTATGGCATCTTTTAATTTGGCTATACCTTAGGTCAATGGCATTCTTGTACGCTAGTGATCTTTTCACCGAATAAGACTTCAAAATAAAGTAAATTTGAAAATGATAATGGATCAATGAGAATAATAAAGTTTTCTTCTAGTTTGGTTTTCTACTATAAGAATTCAAAAAAAATTCGGAAATAGGACGGTCGAAAATTTACCTATACATTGGCATAACAACCGTTACACCATAAGTCCATGACTTAGCTCATTATGCTATGATTGACTCCTCAAAGTTCTTCCCTAACATGAGTGGTAGATAGGAATCGAATAATCTAACGATATTCTAAATTAGGGCGGTGTATAATTTGATAAATACCGAATTACCATATCAAAATCAAAAAATTTGGTATTTGGTATTCGATATTTTGGTATTCGGTGTGATGTTTGGTTTAATTTTTAAAAAATATTGGTATTAGGTATGGTATTTGGCATTTTAAAATGAAATACTGAAATACTAATACCGTACCGAAATATATATTCTATTACACAGTGCACATATTATTAATTATAACATAAATATAAAAATCCAAAATTTTACCTTTCTTAATTATCTAAGTTCATCAATTAATTCTAAGTAAGTAACAAGACATTTCTAATGATCAAATTTATTCTTTTATGTACAATTTTCTCTCTCTAAGTTGATATTTGCTAGTTTTGGACAAATTTTTTGTCAACAAATGTTTTTAGTTTTGTACTTTGGAGTACTTTAATTCAGAATATTACATTCTATGACTCTATGCACTAATTAGTATTCAAACCGAACAAACTGAAGTTACCAAACCAAATAAACCAAAACCAACAACAACAACTACCCCGATAGGGCAGAGAGGTCATGTGTACGCATACCTTACCCTACCCCGATAGGGCAGAGAGGTTGTTTCCTGTAGACCCTCGGCTCAGAAAGACGGAAATAAAAAACAAGAAAAGACAATTCATTAGTAACTCCAGTAGAAACTATAATATTAACAAAAGCATAACAACCAAAAGATAAATGACATGCAATAACGGTAACCAGTATCTAAGGCCGGGGCTAAGATAAACAACAAGTATAGTGTGGACTAAACATAAACTGCAAGCCATCTAAGATAAACCCTAATCCAACCCCGCCTAACCCCCGGTATGAAGTAAGGAAAGCTCTACTACCCCCTACCCTACAACCCTAATGCATGACCTTCAGACCTTCATATCAAGGGTCATGTCCTCGGAAATTTGCAGTCGTACCATATCTTGCTTAATCACCTCTCCCCAATACTTCTTAGGCCTCCCTCTACCTCTTCTCGTACCCACCACGGCCAACCGCTCACACCTTCTCACCGGAGCATCAAGGCTTCTCTTCCGCACGTGCCCGAACCATCTAAGCCTCGCTTCCCGCATCTTGTCATCCACAGGGGCCAGGCCCACCTTCTTTCGAATATCTTCATTTCTAATCTCGTCTATCCTAGTGTGCCCGCACATCTACCTCATCATCCTCATTTTTGCTACCTTCATCCTCTGGATATGGGAGTTCTTAATAGGCTAACACTCTGCCCCACACAACATGGTCGGTCTAACCACAGCTCTATAAAACGTACCTTTGAGTATCGGTGACACTTTTTTATCATACATGACGCCAGATGCAAGCCTCCATTTCATCCATCCCACCCCTATACGGTGAGTGAGGTCCTCGTCGATCTCTCCGTCTCCCTGAATCATCGACCCAAGGTACTTGAAGCTATCTCTCTTGGGGATGACCTGTGATCCAAGCCTCACGTCCCTGCCTACTTCTCTCGACTCCGCACTAAACATGCACTCCAGGTACTCTATCTTAGACATGCTCAATTTGAAACCCTTAGACTCGAGGGGCTGTCTCCAAACATCCAATCTCTCATTAACCCCGACCTTGTCTCATCAATTAGAACTATGTCATCAGCAAATAACAGACACCATGGCACATCCCCTTGAATATGGTGAGTCAATGTATCCATCACCAAGGCAAATAAGAATGGGCTAAGCGCAGAGCCTTGGTGTAATGCCATAATAATCGGAAAATACTCCGAGTCGCCTCCCACAGTCCTAACCTTAGTCTTGGCTCCATCATACATGTCCTTGATCACTCTAATGTAGGCTACCGACACACCCTTTGCCTCAAGACATCTCCAGAGCACCTCCCTAGGGACCTTGTCATACGCTTTCTCCAAGTTAATAAATACCATGTGCAAATCCTTTTTCTTATCCATGTACTGTTCCACCAACCTCCTAATAATATGGATAGCTTTCGTAGTGGAGTGACCCGGCATGAACTCAAACTGATTAACGGATATAGACGTCGTCTTCCTCACCCTTACCTCCACCACCCTCTTCCAGACTTTCATGGTATGGCTAAGTAACTTGATACCCCTATAATTGTTACAATACTAGATACCACCTTTGTTCTTGTACAACGGTACCACTGTACTCGACCTCCACTCCCCCGACATCCTCTTCGTTCTAAAAATTACATTGAACAACGCAGTCAGCCACTCCAATCCTGCTCTACCCACACACTTCCAAAACTCAATCGGAATTTCGTCTGGCCTGGTCGCTCTACCCCTACTTATCTTACGCAAAGCCCTCACGACCTCCTCCACCTTAATGCGCTTACAATACCTAAAATCTAGGAGACTCTCTGAATGCCCCCAAATCCCCTAGTGCTATATCCCAGCCCCCTTCTCGTTTAGAAGACCATAGAAGTATGTCTGCCATCTTTGTCATACTCTACCATCCTCGTCTTTGATGCACCTTACTTGGTCCAGATCCCGGGCCTTTCTCTCCCTCGCTTTAGCCAGCCAAAACAACTTCATGTCCTTGCCTTTCTCCCCCAATTCCTCGTATAGACGATCAAACACTGCATTCTTAGCCTCTGTGACCGCTAACTTTACCTCCTTCCTTGCTACCTTGCACCTATCTCTATTCGCTCTCCTCTCCTTCATGCTTGTGCTCCCAACCAACTTCGCATACGCTACCTTCTTCGCCTCCACTTTACATTGGACTACGTCATTCTACCACCATTCGCCTTGGTGCCTGCCAGAAAAACCCTTCGATATCCCTAGCACCTCTCTCGCCACCTCCCTCACATAGTTCGTCGTCGTTGACCACATAGTGTTCGCGTCTCCACAACTCCTCCAAGCTCCCATAGCGGATAACCTCCCCTCCAATTCCTAGGCTTTATCGTTGGTTAAAGCTTCCCATCTAATCCTCGATCGGCTACGAGCATACCTCTTCTTCCTCTTCATTATAATGCCTCCGTCACTAAGAGACTATGCTGAGTCGCGAGGGTCTCTCCCGGGATAACCTTGCAATCCTTGCACAACCCTCTATCACACCTTCTGAGGAGAAGGTAATCAATCTGGGTCTTCACCGACAAACTTTAGAAAGTAACCAGATGCTCCTCCCTCTTCTGAAAAGTCGTGTTCACAATCACTAGCTCGAAAGCCTTAGCGAAGTCTAACAGTGAAGTACCTCCTCTGTTCATATCCCTAAGGCCAAAGCCACCATGCACCTCTCCATAACTATCAGTAGCCGATCCAATATGGACATTAAAATCCCCTCCAATAAATAACCTTTCAGTAGGTGGAATACTACGCACAATCTCGTCCAAACCCTCCCAAAAAATGCCTATTAACCTCCTCATCTAAGCCCGCTTGCGGTGCGTAAGCACTTACTACATTAAGGGTGCACTCACCAATCACCAACTTAATAAACATTAGCATATCATTAACTTGCCTAATCTCAACCACTGATTCTCTAAGATCCCTATCCACCAAGATACCCATTCCATTCCTGCCCCTCACGACTCCAGAGTACCACAACTTATACCCATCTGCATTCCTCGCCTTCGACCTTGCCCACCTAGTTTCCTCGACACAAACTATATTAACCTTCCCCTTCTGGAGAATCTTTACCAACTCAATAGACTTACCCGTCAGCGTGCCTATGTTCCACGACATGATCCTTAATCTACAAGCTCCCTCTTTCCCCTTACCCTCCTTGCCGCTCGTCCCATCCATTGACCCCCTCCCCACCCCCTTCTCACCCTCGGCACCCTTCGAGGACATGACCTTACTCTACCATCCCAGACCACAGCCACTATACCTACGACAAACTCTAGAAAACACTAACACAAACCCAAACTAGAAAATAATAGGTAGCAACTACAAGTACTCTAATAAAATACTTAAAGTGATGCTAACTAAATAGCCATAATTTAACTAACCTAAAAAAAGAGACAAGAAAGTGGGAACTCTCGATGGAAAGAACCTGGAAATATGACTTGATGCACCTGAGGTCATGCGTCCTTCCAACTCCCGCTAACCTTTGTACATACTAGCCGGTGATGCTCCGCTCTACTCGCCCGTACGCCTCGCGCTTTCCTTGGCAGCCGCAGCTAGTTCCCTAAAAAATTACACACAACCACCATGAAATCAATAGGGAGGGGGGCTGTGGTGGACCTGGACAAAGTCGAAAAGGGAGGGACAACATGGTGGGTCGCCGGACAGAGGTTGCCGGCGGGGCTGCTAGGGTTTCAGAACTAAAATTTGGGCTCAAGAAGGGTTGGGAAAAATGATCAGCAGGGAAAAAAGACGTGTTTATGGGGATATGAGAGAAGAAGGGAGTGAGAAGAAGAGAAGAAAGGCAGAGGAGAGGCGCTTGGAGGTCGCCGGCTAAAAATTTCGGCGTTGAAATAGAGAAAAGAGAGAGAAGGGGTGGAGAAAAGAGAGAAAAATTGGTGGAGAAGAGAGATGAAGGGG